CCCGCCTACATCAGACTGGTTTTTTAACTGACAGAACATGGAGTGACCTTCAGATCCCACACAATCCAAACACACGTACACTCCTCAATCTCGCCTCGCTTTCATCTCCTCCTCTGCCGGGGGGTTCCGCTGCGTTCTGTTCATCCTCCAGGTGGAGACGCAGGAGGAGACAGAGAGGGACAGATTATCGCTTTTAAAAGGGGGAAACCACTCGATTTTACGCTCTGCACTCTCCTCAAGGCCGAGACAGTTTAATCAGCATCTGTGAGAAGGGGCGGGCGGCGAGATGAGAGACTGAGGGGTTTGATTTGTGTTGTACTGACTGGATCTGGAGCTTTGATTGGACGGGTAATTGACTGATTGATTAAATGCATGATTGTCTCTCTGGCTGATTGACTGATGGACATTATTTCAGGATGAAACAATAAAATATAATAGATTCAATTTAAATCATGTTCAACTTTTACTTAACACTTGCTGAGCTATATGTGTTAATGCCCCAAACAGGCTAACCTGAATCCTTACGTCCACCGAGGAGGTTATGTTTTCACCCGTTTGTTTGTGTCTTTGTTGTTTCGTTTGATTGTGATCAAGATTACGCAAAACCAACAGGAAAGAACTCATTAAATCTTAGTCAGATCTGGATCAGGGGGTGGATCCAGGAACTATTGATCACTTTCTAAAACATTGTGCGAAAGGACGTTTTTTTGTTCCCAGGAAATAATTCATGGTGAAGGGGGCCTGTTGGGCTGAGCCATTCCAGTAAATTAAAGCTAGGGTTGGTAATCCTGGAAAAGGAAGCGCGAGCATGTACCGATACATCCCACCCCGTCCCATCAGCCCACCCGTCGAAGCTACGCCCCCAAAACAAATGAACGTCCACTTGCTCGCTGCATTCTATCCGGACTTCCTTTAGTACAAATGATAAAACCGACAAACTACTTTGACATACACACACACACGCACATGCACACACACACAGCAGAGCAGACAATGAAAGGTGCCCCTAAAGCACGAGTGTCCAGAAATCTATATTTTCATCTGTACTTTACAATAAAAGCTCTTTTTCCAACAGTACTTTAAAATAAAAGCTCTTTTTTCCTCTGTACTTTACAGTAAAAGCTGTCCACAGCAGCCGATAATCATAAACGCCCCTGAATAGAACATAACAGCTCCACAAGACACATGGCTCACACCCACCTGCAGTCCTGCCCCTCCTGCAGACAACAGACAATGAAAATGCCCCAGAGAGAGACTTGTAATAGAGATGTGCAGAACAGGACTACACCGCAGACCCTGAAGTGACTGGGATTGGAGGGGGAAATGGAAAATGTACAGGTGGGCTATACAGAGATGCAATCCCACAACATAGGACACGTTAACTGAGATATAAGCCGAGTATGATGAGCACACGCCTGCCTTTAGAAACAGTAAAACAAGTTAATGCAGCCGGAGACCTGACTAAACAAGCTTTAGGTGCAGGTTGTTTAACATTCAAACCAGCAACAGGGCACGAAACAGAAATGATACGAATTGTAAAAGAATATCTCAAACAGAAATATGAATATTATATATTACTTTTCATATGGTGATAAGTTTTGATCTCATATTTTTACATCTTGCTTGTTATGTGCCTGATACCTTGCTGTTGAAACTGGATTTGCCAGTTTGGGATCAATAAGGTAAATCTATTTATTCATCTGTTTATCTATAAATCATATAATAAGGCCAGAAAAAAACATTATTAAGATCCAACATATTGTAATTATAACTAATTCATACTCGTAAGTATAAGAACAGACTTCATACATCTTTAAGCCCAGATGCCTTTTTTTTCTCCCCACAAACTCACCGGAGATCTCGTTCTGAGGAGCGTCCGCCAGAGTGAAGCCTTTCCCGGTGTAGAACTGCCGCAGGTCCACGCAGCTCCGGTCCGCCCCGACCGCCGGGCCCGGGGCTGCAGACAGACACGCCAGCGCACAGAGGAGCACCGGGATCCGCATCTTCCTCTCAGGTGTGGTCCCCACCTCTCCACCCTTCACTCAGACCCGGGCAGACACAAGACAAATCCTGGAGGTCCGAGGAGAGACAGGAGGCTCCCGGTGGTTCAGTTGCTTTGTGGATGTTTGGGGAGTTTTCAGTCCGTCAATAGATGCATGTTTTCCCCGGTGCAAACCGCACACAGCCCCGGTGAACTAACACGCGCACCGGGCGAGGGAGGGTGGCGCTCGTTGTTGGTTCTGCGGGAGAAGAGCTGCGACGCGCGGCTGAAGGTGTCAGGTACAACTCGCTGCTCCTCCTCTCCTCCTCCCTTCTTCTCCTCCTCCTCCTCCTCTGGAGCTGCAGAGATGCCTCAGACAAAAGAGAGAAGTGTGTGTGTGTGTGTGCGTGTGTGTGTGTGTGCGTGTGTGCAGACTATCACCGGATCACGATAATAATAAAATTATTCGATTATTTATAATGAATGAATTAAATGATTATTGAATTTATCAGAGGATGATCATTTGTCCGGTGGATTCTCCTCCTCAGGCTTTGGGACAATGAAATGAGCAGATGCTCTCTCTCTCTCTCTCTCTCTCTCTCTCTCGTGTGTGTGTGTGTGTGTGTGTGTGTGTGTTCTGCTGCAAGGTGCCAGGGGTTAACCAGCGACACCTGCAGGCCATAATAATAATAATAATAATAATAAGCAAGTGGTGATCCAGGGATTCCCCGTCAAAAATGTACAGTATTTATTCTCATTAATTAAAATGTAATGTGCAGATTGAGCGAGTGCATTGGTTTCATTAAACCTACTTAAACTTAAACGCAAAAACAAGAAAGAATTGTCATGTGAGTAAAATCTAATTGGGTCCAGTCGTCCACTGCATCACTTCTAAACACTGTGTCGTGTGTTTTCTTTGCGTGAAGTTTCAGAACTCACAGAGTTATCAGTGTTTTTTTTAATTTATAGTTAATTAGAATAAAGTTATTAGCATCAGGCCCCAACAATCACTTTCAGTGATCTTACAGGAAATATGCATCCGCTCTGGATGGATGGATGAATGAATAGATGGGTGGATGGATGGATGAATGAATGAATGAATGGATGGATGGATGGATGAATGAATGAATGGTTGGATGGATGGATGAATGGATGAACAGACTGTCTGAGTCTGACTGATGTGTCATCGTCTGATCAGTAGAACTTTTTTAACAGCAGATATTCATCTCATGTTTTCTCTGCTCTGTATTTTTAGTTTGTCTGCAAGATTATGCAAAAATGACTTGGCGGGAAAAAGCTGTGCGGAAGGGTGGGACACGGGCCCGAAAGGAACCCATTTAATTTTGGAAACGGACAAGGTGCCTGACAGTAATGGTTTCTGACACTTTTCAAACACTGGTGGTTGTTGAAAGGAATCAGACATGTTACGAGATCTGTTATTGATGAGTGTGTGAAGTGTGGTGCACCTTGATTGAATTTAAAGGGACTGATGGGCCTTGGTGAAGATACGAGTTCTACTTTGTGCCAGTTTGAGTTGTGATTGTGTAAAAAAACAGTTTTAATTAATACCATCAGTAACGTTGGCTCTGAATGTGCCAGTGAGTCTCGCCAGTGTGGCAGCGAGCCAACACCAATTCCACCTCCCAGAAACATAAGCAACTCGTTAAACCATCATTCACTTTATTACTTAGACCTCGATTTTCCTGCTGTGACTCGTCCAAACATTCTTTAAAAAATAGCCATGATGCACTTGACTTGATCACAATCAACTTGTAAAGTCAGGAATTATCACATGATTACATTTAATCATCATTTATATAATCCCTGACATAAATTCCACATCTGCATTCCTGAACATGTTGAATCACAGGCCCCGACAGTGAATTAGATTTATCGATAACCTACATTTTTATGTCATCAGCAGGACACATCACACACATGGAGTGTATCGCTGGCCAACTTATTCAAAGGAATCATACCGAGCTCCACACACTGAGTGCAACATCTGGGCAGATGTTAATCCAGCCAATGCTTTTTTTTTTGCCTTGGCAGGGTGTGATAAGAATGATTGGCACATACCAGTTATTTTAGCTGCCGGGAGAAAGAGGTTTTATACCTGTTAATAGAAACAGAGCCAAGAGTAATATGTCAAATATCTACTTTTCTCCCATCCAACAAAGGTACTGTGCAGAGAAAGAGTGATATATTCTTGTTTTGGACGTCAGCTTTCAAATGAGAATCTTTTCCAAAAAAGAGTATCAGTATAATCCATCACGCTCTGAAGCAGATGGCCACGTTCCACATCTGCATGAAGTGATATATTAAATGTCAGAGTAAAACAGCAACGCTGAAAAGTGGTTAAAACTGATATGAGAAAGATATTCAGGTCATTAATTCATGCAACAATGAGGACACTGTCTGAGGATGAGCACAGGTGTCATCTCCAGTTTCATTCTGGCTCGGCACTTTCAAGTAAGTAACGTCTAAAGGCACAAATCCAAATAATGTGTTCAGTCTCTATTCATGACAGGAATGAATCCAGGTACAACAACATTACCTTTAAACTGGAGGATTTTATAAGCGTGAAACGAGGCTGCCTACCAGGTCACACAGACACGTCTGAGTCAATCACAACACTTAACCAGTTCCATGAGATCTGCTCGGGCTCTTGAACTCATTTAAACTCAGCCCGTTTTCTTTTCTTCTATTTTCTCCTCATCTGAACTTTCGGTCCCATTTCATCTGCCCTTAACTGAGCCCGCACCCTCCAGAGAACTAAGTTTCTACTACTTTTATTCTCATGTTTTGAATCCATGTATTCCCTCTTCACCCTCCTTTACACCTTGCTCTGCACAAAGCTAACGCACGCAAAAGCCTTACATCACAGCCTTGTGTATTTCTGTTTCTGTCTGTATTCCTGTGATGCATTTGTGCATGAAGATGTCAGGGAGAAAAACAATGAAAGAAAAAGTGGCCGAGCCTGTTACGACCTGCATATGGCATCCTGCAAGTGTGTGTGTGTGTGTGTGTGTGATTCTGAGCTGCAGTGACACATTTTTCAGTTCTACTCTGTCTCCTCGTGAGCCTGTAAGTCATAATGACAGATATTTCCTTCTCAGCACATTTGACACCGCTGGCACTCTTGACTCACATGTCAGTCATTCTTGGTCACATCTGCAGTTATAAGACTCCCTCTAAATCAAGAAATGATAAATATCAGTGACGGCGGTTTGCAGACACGGCACACACTCTCTCTATTATACACCCATTACATACTGTACACAAACAAACCAACACATAATAAATCACACAGATGATGAAACTTCAATATCTTACCTGTCAACTTTGATCCAAACTATCTGTCACAGAAGATAAGATCTGTCAGCTGTAGCCGATAAACATCGACAGAATGGGATGGGAGTGAAGCTCTGGCTGGCGTCCAGGTCAATGTGAACTGTGTCAACATGAAAAGAAGTTAATGATGTAAATGTGACAAAATTACTGAGGAGTATTAGCACGAGAAATACAATGAGAATGAGATTCCCCCATTTCGTGATCAAAGTCAAAGTGTCGAGAATGAAGTCAGAATTTCAACATTAAAGTCAAACTTTTAAACATTTAATCGAACTGCTAACGTTAGCGCACATGACAAAGATGATAGATGGTTGGGTGCAAATATAGTTCAGTTTAACAGAGACACCGAGGGAGGTAATCAGTCTTTAAAGAGACTGTGCCAAAAACTGCATCTGTTCATATATACATATATAAGTATCGTCTTCTGATTTAGTTGTACTTTATTCTTGGTGTTTTGACAGTTTTTTGGCACCCCCCCCAAAATCTTCCTCTGGTTTAGTTCTACTTTATTCTTAACATTCGACTTGGAATTCCAACGTTATCCTCAGCATTCCGCTACTATCACGACACAAAAATATCTTACCCTGATTTAGTTCAACTTCATGTTTGGCATTCCGATTGTTTTTACGAAAAAAACTAAAATATACTTTCCTCTGATTCACTTCGCCTTTATTCTCAACATTTCCAGTTTATTCGTGACATTCCGACTTCGTTTCGTGTCTTTAGACGGTGAACGCGGTAAAAGAGCTTGATGTTAGCATGCCGTGCCCACGTTCAGCTTCAGAGCCAAGAGCCTAGTGTTACAGTTCACAGAAATCATTTTGTGGTTGAATTCATTGTGAAGCTGTTTGGAGGTAATGTGGGTGTGAAAAGGTGAGTTAGGTGATTCAGTGCTGTTCTTTCACACAGAGACTGATGTTTAATTGCCCCTCAGCAAGACACTTAATCCCTGATTGCCTCAGCGGAGCCGCTCTACCCTGGCATCACAGACTCTGGATATAAAGAGGCTGCCAGCCACGGTGAGGTCGATCAGCTTTCAGGGTTAAATGACTCCTAAACACCTCATCAAAATTTCGAAGAGTGCCGCACCACCACCATTTAGATCCCATCAGCGGTTATTAATATTCAAGGATCTTCTCCTCGCTCTCAAGCATTGGGGAACAATGGACCGTTCATGTTATCAGCTCCAATGAGAGCAAATGAAAGATTTGAGCACCTGAGGGGGCGAGAGAGGCTCCAGTGTTGGAGAACTCACTCAATCATGTGAAAGAAAAGAGTGTTCTTCCATCTCAGGTTGCTGTTCCTCAGGCTGCTGCACAACAATGAGAATCTGATTTGGGCAAATCAGGAAAATTCAAGTGTGCCTTTCGAGATCTATAATACATAAATAAATGTTTTGTGACACAGCACTGGATAGATCCAGTTGAGTTCTGTGTCTCGGCAGACGTGCCTCCCAGGTAGATTAAGACTGAAGGGCGAAAAAATAATGTACACAAGCGCTAATCTGACATCACGTATGTCTTGAAGGCAACGAACAAGGACGGGGACGAAAATATGATTTAAATACAACAAACAATCATAATTCAAATAATCAGAGCCGTGATTTTATTTGTGCTGGAAGCAAAAACATCAGCTTCTCGAAAGCACCGTTCGGCAAAGGCCTCAGTTACAAACTCATCCTCGTTCCTCCTCTTTCACCTCCCACCCCGTCTGCCTCCTGTGTTCCCGAGATTCAGAGTAACGTAAATAATTTGTGCTCTTTGGCTGATCAGGTATTCAAGTAAATAAATAAAGCAGCAAATTATAATATCAAGGAGAAATAAAGTAGAATCCATTGAAAGTAGTATATACAGTAAAAAAATGCATTTAATATATTATCTATTATCGATATATATTATATCTTTAACTTAAAAGCACCAACATCCCCGTCTTTCTCCCTCATGCTCCTCCCTCTACGTCTTTCTCTCTGTGGCAATTTGCATTCAGTGATGTCTTTATTTCCCATCATCCCCTGGCAGATTCCTGTGCCAGCCATGGCGACGTGTGCCAGCTCCCTGACCATGCCAATCCAATTACAGTAAGCTCCCAAAAAAGTGCCAGAGGCCAAAGAGCTGCCACTGCATTTACATATAATATACACACGGCTTCTGGTGGTTCCAAACTCCTGTGAGCTGAAACTTTCTGCAGCAGTCCTGATGTGGTGGGTGCTCGGTTGGTAAAATACACTGAAAATCAAAATGTTTAAAATGAAGTTAGAAAATACAAATGTTCTCATTTAAATTTAGTGGGAATGTGTATTCTGCACAAGTCCAATGTTTTCCGCCATGTTAGTCACTTTGTTCTTGTTAGCAAAAACTACTGAACAGACTTCCACGAAACTCGGAAGGAAGGAAGGGACATGGTTCAGGAAAGAAATACCATTTTTAATTTTGAGGATTCAGTCAAGGAGGTGTATCCACGATCTTAAAAAAAATCCCTTTGCCGTTTTCAAACCTTAATTCGTACAGCAGATGAGGCTTCATTTATGTTGTGAGATCTTGTTTCACACCATGTTTCAGCATCTTCCACTGAGATCGTAACCAAATATACAAAAGACACGAGTACGAGTTTGATAACACGCATTTATTATTAAAAGGTTATTAAACTGTTGATTTTTGACACAACAGAGCAGGACACATGTTACAGTAGTTTATTCATGTTCTAAATCAGAAATGTAGTTTGACATTAGAGTGTCGGGAGAGAAACCAAAGCTGCTCACTGGTTGTTCCTTGCATCCTGGTGGCCCTGGACAGTATTACAACAAAATAAATTAGCAATGCTAAACTAAGGGAGCTGTTAGGGTACATGTAATGGTTTTATTTAACAATGACACGGCACAGCTCGCTCTGTGGCACACCAGCGTGTGGACAAACATCACGGCACCAGAGGAACAACAGGAAGTAAGTTCTGTGCTACTTCGAAATGAAAGATGTTGCTCAACCTCATGTACAAGTACACACACCACAAAGATTTCTCAACATTTAAAGGTTCAGTGAGATTAAGGTAAAATTGATCTATTGGTAGAAAATTGAATGTACAATAATCCTAGTGACGTTTCATCTAAATTGGACAAATTATTGTTTTATTTAGAATGGGCCCTTTATATTCAAATACTTTATATTTGACATCAGGAGGGGGGTCCTCTCTACGGAGGCTGCCATGTTATGACAACTGAAGCTTCCACAGGATCTCTGATTGAAAGGGTAGGGTGAGGTGAGGGGTATTCAGCTGCAACATGCAACTTCACCACTAGATGTCACTAAATTGTACACACTGAACCTTTAAAGTAGTAGCTACCAAGTGACTCTGAGCATAGAATGACGTCTTATCTGTTTTATCCTCATTCTTCAGATGGTCAAATTACTCAACACGGCTGTAATTGCTTATTTTATTTTATACAAAGCATATAAAAGATATGAAAATATATATTTTTTACATTTTAAAAATCTCTAAATCGCTGTCATTAGCCCACACTAGTGTTATTCCAGGTTGTTGAATAGTGTATATCCGTAGATTGTATATACCAACCTTTCACAGGTAACTATATCTGTGCAGTTTTGCGTGTTGTTGGTTTGCTTATGTACAAGGTCACATAGTAAAGGCTGGGAAAGATGGCGTGGCTCACTGGAGTCCAATATCTCATCTGAATAACGTTTAAACTATAATTAAACAATAGCTTGTGTTGGTTTGACAGATTATGTCGTGAAAGTCTCCCTCTACTTCACATGGTATCTGTTGCCTGGATACCTCTCAGCCCTGAGCTCTTTATGGCATTTGTAAAGGTGTCTCATCTGTCAGTTACATTCCTTTATAAATAACTGTCTCGGTTAAGTGTCAGTGAGACACTTTCAGGAGAGTTTTGCTCTTTTGTGGCACAAAATCAAAGACAAAAATGTCTGTAATTGAACCTGCGGTGTGAAACTTCAGACATCTGAGCCAGTTATTACAAGCAGCACAGTATGCACATGTATCTGACGAGTACCACAGCGTATTAGGGCCATGTTGAAGAAAAACCCATCTGAGGTTTGGAGCATAAAGTCGTACTATTACGAGAAAATCACAAAAATTCATTCGTAATTTTATGAGAATAAAGAGAAACATTTTTTTTAGGTTTCACTCCTTCTGGATCCAAAAACTCATCGTGAAACCCACTATTTTACTTTTCCTCCTCAACAAAAGAGGCAATTTCCAACAAGTCTGTCCGGTTTCTTCAGAATAGACAGTTTCTTGCACAATCTACTGATGAAAATGTGCCTGAAATATTAAGAATTATGTTATAAATTTATGAGACCTATAACAAAGTATAACCGAACAAGATGCTCCACATTCCTCATTTTAACACAGGCAAAAGAATGTATGTTTTGATATTCCCCCTGCAAAATGATTATTCAAATTTAATTACGACTTCTCCTTGTTCAGGTAATATTACAACTTTATTTTAGCAATCTCGGAACAACTTTATTCTAACACGTCCCTAATATTCTGAAGTAGATAAAGAAATCTGTCACCAAGTGAAAGAAATGCACATTTAATAATTATTCCCTTTGTCTCTCCTGCTGGTGTGAGCCGTTTGGGGGGTGTAAGACTTCACAAAGGGCCGGAGGGACTTGATAATCCTAATTAACATGAATCACATTTGATTCACATGTATGGATCTGGGCTCTATTGTCTTCCCCCGGGGACAAGCTGATAAAACATGTATCAGCCTTTCCAACAGCATTCACTGAATCTTATTAAATCTCATATATATGATCTCAGTGAAGTTTTAATTCAAGCATTTGGAGCCAAGTCTACCTTTGAATGACTGCGACAGTTTAATAATAAATGACAATGAAATGTCAGATTACCTTTCACTGTTCAGGCAGATGATTGTTTCTGACTTTTAAATGATGGTGATATTCAGTCTTTTCTTCTTCTGGGTGTTTGGTTTATTTTCATTTCTAACAGAGCTTCCTTGAAGCTTGCAAGTGAAATTGAATTTGAAATGAAAGCCGTTCCCTTTAGTGCTTTTACATCTCTGCCCACTGTGCATCCACAGAAGAACAGTCTCTACCCATTTTTCTCAACAACTACTTTGAAAATGTTTATTCACCAAGAAGGTAAATTACGAGAGAACGTCTTGTGAGTAATGTTTGATGGAATTTAAATTCTAAAAAGAAGGTTATATGAAAAGAAAAAAAGTCCTGAAGGGTTTCAGTGTGCACGGACTTGCCGGCCAAACAGTCAAATATTTCACGCTCCATGGTCTGAAGTATCTCATAATTGGTTGTTGCCTATTGAGAAAGTATAAGTACACATTAGTATTAATGAGCAGCCTGAGGCCAATGGATCAAAATGTAGTCGGAGGTCATCTCAGTCTGGATCAAACTGGAACATGTTTAGAATGTTTGACTAATAGTTCTGACTTTTAGACGAATCGTAGGAAGTTGAGCATTAAAAAGTAGAAGAAGAGCTTGCTGCCGTCTTTGCCGCTGACGATGTAATGTTTGAACCACGAGGACGCAGATCAACCAGTTCACTCACCAGATTAAATGTAAATAAAATGTAACGACGACATGAATCTTAGTTCAGACCACGGTCCAGACTATCAGGTGCCAAAGAGCCTGAATTCATCTCTGTGTTCTGAGTTTTCTTAAACTTTCACTGAAGTGCCTCCACTGTAAATATGCAGCTTGTTTAACTCCAGCTGAACTCTGTGAAGGTCAAAACCAAACCAAACGGCCTTTTGAGTCCAAGTCAGTCCGCTCTGCTCTATATTAATCTCTATTTACACATCAAGCCACAGTTACCTATAGAAACTCTTCATATAAATATATAATATATATATTTGTATTTACATCTTTCTTCAAAAAAAGTAACTAGTGCTGTGCAAACTACCTTAATAGAGTTAAATACAAATGCACACAAGTAGAGGTCAGTACAGGTAATATCAAAATGCTGTGCAACTGCAGCAAACCCACAGTCTGTGCCACAAGCTGGAACCCCCCCCCCCTCGATCGGAGGGGTTTAGCTGTGCTTACAAAAACTTCCAAACCACCACCACCACCAAACATACAGTCTGTGGTCGTCTCTCTGTCTCTTCTGTCTCTGTCCGTCCCAGGATCTGTCTCACGGCGGTCAGCGTGGTTCCCATGTCGACAGCAGGAGGAGCAGTGGGGTCACCAGGGTCAGAGGTTCGACGGTCATGATGTGAGCTGAGCTGCGGACGACCACCTGACAGGAGACACACAACACGGTAGAATGACAGAGGGAGAGAGTGAGGGGAGGTAAGAAGGAAGTGAAGTGAAAATTATAAATCAGATATTATTATTGTGTTAGCATATGATGTGAGCAAGTAATTGTGTATATGGGTTTGAATATGTGTATCTAAAGAAGGACAATATGTCTCCACTCCCTCCAAACAAAGATTAAGACAAACTATTCAAAAAATTTGGCTCCTTTGTTTTATTTATGGTTAATTCTAATAAAGTTTAGGATCAAACTGTATCATGTCATCATACCTCAGTTACATTTCTTTGTCATAAGAGTTCAATAACAACATCTTTGGAATCACACCCAAATCTTTATTCTTTGGAAAGTTTATATCTGTCGATGTTTTGGATATTTTTCAATCCTTCATATCGGCACCGCCCCCTAAAGTCCATGTTGGCTGGGCTCCAGACAACAGGCAGTTATGGGACGTCACACTAAGACACTAATGATGTTTCAAACTGTCGTATAAGAACGTACTCAGATGAGCGGCATCACAACCTGTCTGATACTTGATCGACAGACCAAACTTTAAGTTCACGTCACAGTGAGTAAGTAGAGCAGCTTGTTACAATGTTGTTCAAAAAATCAAATAAAAAAAAAAATGTTTAACAGACACAGGTTTGGTGACAGAGACACAAACATCCATCACAAATTCTGCAGATGAGTCATTATGAAACGGTAAAGCTGTCAAAAACCTGTATTTCCAAATGACTCTCTCTCTCTCTCTCTCTCTGTGCTCACACGACCGGCCGCTCCTCTGCTGACTCACTTATGCTCAATCACGGATCTGCCTCCAGTCATTACAACGCTGGAAGAAATCTTGCACGACACAATTCAACACTCCAGCTTCTTCACTGCATTTTCACTCTTCCATCTCGGCAAAACAAACTCCCAGAGGTCACCTCGGATGTTTAACGTCACTGTTCTTTGTGTTATGAGAAGTGAAGGTGTAATTGGTCAGAACCTCAGGCTTCACCAGGGGACAGCAAGTCAACGGTGAATAAAAAATGCGAGAGCAATGACTTACCTGTGGAGGTGAGAGGTGATGAGGAGGGATGGGGCGATGAAGAAGAGGAGGCCCAGCTTCGTTCTTTGTCTCTGGACTGTGACCACTGGCTGAATCACCCGTCTCATCACCTGAACAAATCAAGAAATCTGATGGTGAGGTGAAAACAGTATGAACAGATGTTTCATTATTTTATTTGATGAGTTCAGGGAACCTTGATGACCTCTGCCAAGGAGGTTGTGTTAAGGTTGTGCTTGGATTACACCAGGAAGGATGCTGGGGGATAAATCCATAAACCTTTTGGTGCAGATCAAGGTAAATGTGCAGATCCATTAACTTTGGACATTTAACTCCACAGGTTTTTCTGGATTCTATATATGAAGAATCCTTCAACTTCAAGTGTCTGGAAATATCAAGTAAATGAGAAAAGAAGTTCAGTCATTTAAAGAAAAGCACTTTCTCTAAATAAGTCCATAAATTAAGGGAATCGAGATTTGTGTGAGCCGTTTATGTTTTCGGTTTCATGATTGCACAGGATCTTGAATTATTTATGGCTCTTCTGTTGTTGTTTAGACCTGAAAGATTTATGGATTCAAACCATTTCACCCGACCCACCCACACAGCGTGAATACTGTCACACTCCTCCGCACACAGATGTGTGAAATGTTGCTTCATTTAATTGGCTTATGGCTGGACATCACCAGCAGCTTTAATATGCGTGTGTGTGTGTGTGTGTGTGTGTGTGTGTGTGTGTGTGTGGGCAGGACTCCAGGCCCCTTGTGGGAGGAACTCAGGTAAATGAGCAGATAAGGACAAGAGGGAGACACACTGTGCTGCTGGCTAACTATGCTCATGTGTACACACACACACACACACACACACACACACAGTTGTGTCTCCACCAAGCTTTCAGAGGACATTGCACTGACCTACTTTCTTTTCTTTCTCTGAACCTAACCTTTATGACCTAAACCATAAACTTCACCTTCAACTGTACTAACTCAACAGGTTTAGATCCCCAGAACATGAGTAGCAACTGGATCACAGCCAGAGACGTTGTCATACTCACCTGTGCCGATCACAACCCCCGTGTACTATCCAGGCACACACATAAATACACACACCACCACACACACCTGCATGTGCAGATATCTGTTTCTGTCTCTTACAATACACATTGTCCTGCAGTACAATAGACAAAGAGCCTCTTTCAGTTGGTGAGGAACGAGGTGAGTTGGTTAACGTGCACAAACACGCACACACTGAGATAATGCAGACAAAGGAGGGAGGAAAACACCCATATAAAAATACACAAACACGAAAAAGCTAAATTCTTGCATGTATGAATCAGGATGTGTGTATTGTTTTTGACAGTGTGTCTGATTCTGATCATTTGCTCAGAGCAGAATGTTTTTACTGATCAGACATCTGTCCTTTATTGTGAGCTCACTTGACAAACAGCCACATTGAGCAATATGGGTTCACAAAAACATTGTGTCACATCTGGTGTGAACCTGTTCAGAATCAGAACTGGTTCGTATTATTTCTCCTCAGCAACAACAAGTGCAGAGCTACAAACTCATAAGTCAGTTTTATTACAATACCTCGGACTTCTCTCTCTTTCTGCTAAAACAGATTTTATTTTGCTCGTGCAATGACCTCGTGTAAATGACTATAGTCACAGACTGGAATTGCGTCTGCAGACGTGCAGATTGGGGTTAGTTCAGCTGAAGACTCAGAGTGAGTCTCTGTGTGTCGGCCCTGCTGTGATACGCTAGTGGCCTGTCCAGGATGAGTCCTGCCTCAAAACCACTGTCTCCGGACCCCCCCCACGACCCTCGAAGGATAATTGGTGGATGGATGAACAAAGAAGAAGGCAGCAAAACCGTGACTCCAGCACTAAAGCTGGCGTCTCACTGTAAATGAGTGTCACTGCACCTTCTGTTTGAAAAGCTGCTTAGTGTGCGTGTGTGTGTGTGTGTGTGTG